CCTGTTCTCTGGGGAGCCCAGATCCTTCCTCCCTGAGGCTCTGTAGCATCCGGGGGACCCATCAGATGGCCGCAGGCACCTTCTCTCAGTGCCTCCCACAAGCAGAGCATCTGATGGCCTGAGCAATGGTTCAGGGACAGGGCCCAGTGACACTCAGAATTAACCTTGTGTAGTGTTTTAGTCCTGCCCTCGCCTTCGTAGTGTGTGTGTGTGTGTGTGTGTGTGTGTGTTTGTGTTTGCAGCGTATGAGAAAGACGTCTCCCTTGGGGATCTGGGGTGTGCACGTACCATGTCTGGATCGGTTTTACTCTCCCTCACCCAGCACCGTGCCCTCCCCTCCTTGTCTTTCCTCAGCCTCCCTTGCCGCTTCAGAGTCTACCCCCCATTTCCTGTTGTCCATCTTTTGTTTGACTGTTGAAACTATTTATTCTTTGGCTCTCTCACATTGGAGGACCTGTTATATTTCAGCCTCCGCAGTTTATTTTTTCTGCATAATTATGATCTCAGTGTCCACCCACTTTCCCGTCAGTGTCTCCAGTTTACCTTTCCCGTGGTTGAGTAGCATTCCGTGTGTCTGTGTGCCACCTTCTCATTGTCCGTGCGCCTTTGGTGGTCTGTGCACCACTTCCACATTTTACCTGTAGTCTTGTACTAGTATAAGCGTCCGCGTCACTTTTGCTTTGCTTGAGCAGAATCCCTGACACAAGTGGAAGGAGGAAAGATTACTTTGGCTCACAATTTGTAGGTGTTTGGATCCATAGTTGTCTGGTTCTATGACTAGGTGGCGTGTTAGAAAAGAAAGTTGGTGGCACGGCAGGCAGGAAGCAGCAAAGGCTCGAGGCAGGAGGAGGAGGGACCCTCAGTGACCACAGTGACCCTCTCCTGTCCTCCCACTGGGCTTCGCCTCCCAGCATCACATCCAGATACAAATCCACCCATGGACTAACCCCGTATCACACGCATGATCCAGTCGCTTCCCAAAATCACCGCCTCTGAGCACAGAAGGCACTGGCGGGACATCTCAATGGAAGCCATAACGGTGAGCACGCGTGTGCGTGCAGTACTGTGGTGTGATGACTTCCAGTCCCATGCAGCTGCCCAGAGACAGCAGCTGGGTCCAGTGCAATTCTCTTCTGAGTGTTTTGAGGAAAGTGCACACCGATTTCCAATGTGGTGGCACTAGTTTACATTCTCCCAAGCAAGGAAGAAAGGTCCTTTGCGCCTACCAGCTGTCAAGCATTTGTTCCTCATAGTAGACATTCTAACCAGAATAAGACAAACTCTGGTGGTGTTTTGATTGGTATTTCTTGAACTGCTAAGACGTGCAACATATTGTTAGGTGCTTCTGGGCCATTTCTATTGCTTTTCACGAGGATGTGTTGGTTTCTTTGCCCAACTTTTGCTGGGAGTCAAACTCTAGGACAGGAGTGAGGCACAGAGGTCAGGTGTGTCACACAGTCGGCATGCCAGGAGCTTTTATATTTAGCATCTAATATAGTTGAGTTCTGGTATTTCTAGATATTAGACCTCTGAGAAATTGGCTGGCAAAAATGTCTTCCGATTTGTTAGTTCTTTGCTCATTCTGTTGGTGGTTTGCTTTACTTTGCAGAACCTTTTTGATTTTATGCAATTCCATTTGTAGATTTTGTAGATTTTTAGTATTATACGGTGGGCATTCTGCTGAGGAAGTCCACGCCTATGCTTTATCTTAAAGAGTTTGTGGTTTTATCCCCAGATCTGTGGTCCACTTGCGTTCGCTTTTAGCACAGGGTGAGAGAGATGGTCAGAGTCAGTCTTGTGCATGTGGATGGCCAGTTTCCCAGCACCATTTCTCTGTGGCCTGTCTTTCCTCCAGCGTAGGTTATTGGCCCCTTAGTCAAACATCCAATGGCTGGAGGTTGTTTCTGCGCTCTGTACTCTATTCCGCGTGTCCATTGTCTGTGTGTATTTCAGTGCCATTCTGTCTCTCGTCTGCCCGGAGACGGAAGTGAGGAAGTCTTCCCCTTCCTTAGGAGACAGTCTGAGACTCCTGAGGATGTTTCCCTGAGTGTCCCGTTCTCTCACTGAGAGCCGTTCATCTGATTCCATTGCCACAGGGGTGTGTACTGGGTCTCCAGGTGAGTTTATGTCGTGACTGCTGTGTGTGTTTGCAGAACCTCAAGACACCCTGAGCCAACAGGAAGAGGAGGAAGAGGCAGGGGTAACCTGGTGAGTGTGAAAGTCATGGCCTGTGAAGTGGTGGCCTCTAAGGTCTGAAGTACAGGGAAAAGCAGGAGGTGTTCAATTTCCCTACTTGATCCATTCTGCCAACCCAGAACTGAACTATTTTCAGAGCTTTTTGTCTCGATTGCACCTCCCCTTAGTTTGCAGGTTCTGTCACCTGGAGTCACTGTCGCCCACAGAGAACTAGGCTCAGGTTTCCCTGCATTCCGGGCAAGGAAGCTCTGCATTCTCCTGGGGGAGGTGGCTGGGAAGAGACACTCCCCGTCTTCCTGCCGTTTGGCCTTAGTTTGCTGGAGGGGATTGCATAGCACAAAACAGAACCGGACCAAACAGCACATCCCGTGGAAGTTCAGTATTGTAAGGACGGGCTCGGCAGACCCAGGATCGCTGGGCTTCCGCATTTCCCCTGGTGCCTTCCTTTCCGGGGGCCCTGCAAGTACCATGGAGCCCAGTGCTCTGGTGTTGGGGCAGCTGCGTGCTTCTCACTGTGTGCACATCACACCTGCTCACACTCAGCTGCATCTACCCCTCCAGCCCCTTTATGAAATCTTCTTCTGAGTGGGGACTCTGGGAATTGCTAATGTGTGCAGGCTGCTGGGCCTTTCCTGGCATCCTCCTGCCCCAGCATTGTGACTTCTGAAGAATGCCCCCTGTGTCTCGTGTGGCCTCTCTTTGGGCTTCCAGGGTGGACCAGGTGATTAGCTGTGAATTCCAGTCCTTCACGGTTGCCGTGCTGTTCTCCTTACAGGTACCTGGAGGATGGCGACGATATCAATGATTCACTGTCGTACACTTTAGATAGAAGTTATTTGATGGTTTCCACCTGCCAGGACTCACCAGCGCCCCCCAAGCCTTCCAAGACTCCAGTCTTCCTGGGTGAGGAGCCTGGGGTTCCCTCTCCTCTGGGTGAGGCCAGAGAGTGCTCCCCGCTCCCCGAGAAGAGATTCAGGCTCCTGGGTGTCCCAGCCACCTCCGCGTGCTTTGTGCTCAGCCTTGTCTGCAGGTGGGAGGTGTCCTCAGGCGGGCCCTGTGGGGACCTCGCTGTGGGTCAAGCTCTAGGGAGGGCTGAGGCGCAGCAGTCAGGTGTGTCAGGCAGCGCGCAGTCCTCCTGACTGCAGGCCACAGGCCTTTCACCTGGTGCTCCCTGGGAAACGCAGCAGGTGGGTCCGGAGCAGCAGGGCTGTGGAGAGCCAGGACGTCCCACAGACACTGACAATGCTTTTCTACATGGACACCTTTTCTGCCCAAAGGCCCATTTCGTGTTGCATACCATATCTTCTTGTTGACTTTTGTGTGTGTTTTCTTTTGACATTGGGGACTCAAGTCATTTGCTTTGCCCCGATCCACATCCCCAGCCCTTCTCAATGTGTTCGCTTGAAGGCAGATTCTCTCTAATCACTCCGTTGCACAGATAGACTTCGAAGCCACATAATTGTCCTTTGTGAGCAGCGTCCCTTTCATAGCAATAATTCTTTGTGGGGACCTTCGTCTCCCCTGTATTTTTGGAGACCATAGAGTGGTTTCTACGCTCTGAGCTTAGGTCCTGCTCGGTGTCATGCTCTCAATAAGCAACCCTCCAAGGTCTAAGTGCGTACACGGGCTGTGCTTGTGCATGGAATTTTGGAAGCATCCTGAAACTGCACCCCAGCACCCGCACCCTGTACCCGTAGCCAAGGGTCCTGTGCCTTCGTGAGCACCCAGGATTCATTGTCTGGAGAGCTGGTATCTTTCACCTCTGTCATCTCCGTGTCTGTTCTTTACAGCGGATGCACTTGGTGGGGCCGGTGGCAGCAAGAGCTCTAGGTAGCAGTTAGGAAAGTCCCTAGGATCAGAGGGGAAGATGCATGCTTAACTGTGTCGCAGCGTGCAGGCCAGGACCCTGCGTTGCTGACCTGTCAGAACAGGGGCTGTGTTCCATAGCTTGGGAAACAAGCCCTCTACTTCCCACAGAAACTGTGCTAGGCCCTGCAGTGTGGCGCTGAGCATGCCCCATTTTACACAGAGCACACGGACCTCCATGGGCCGCAGTGTGTGAGGCAGGGTGGCTGTGATGTGACCTTCCACATCTGATTTATTCACAGCAAATCAGACTCCCTGTGAGGATGAGGATGCACTGAAGCCAGAGGCCCCCAGGAAACTGATGATCGGGGATCAGCGACGGTAACTGTGGTGACAGGGAGACCTCGTGTGCACATCCCAGCGGGCACAGATGTCCTGGGTTCACCTGTTCTTCCCATCACGGGCCACAAATGGGCGTTTAAGGAATGTTGCTCACTTTGTTTGGTTTTCTTATATCGCATGTCACTTCTTATTAATTTCCTAAGTTACCCAAAAGACAAATCAGGGACCAACTCAGTGCTCATGGCTTCAGCCTTCACACCTATGTGACCAGTTCTCTACGATGAAAGCAGGATAGGAAGGCAGGACTGGTCTCTGCATTCGGATCCTTAGTTCTTTGCCACATTTTTCATAAGCAGAAAGCGAATTATTAAGAAAAACTTTGACCAAGCCTAGTGTCTTTGTATAGAGGGGCTCAAGAGCTCACTTGCTTTGCCTGTGAATACTGCAGACCTTTCATGCCCTAGTCACCGCTCATGTGGAGGTTTCCCTTGGAAGAGCTCCCCTGGGATGTGCTCAGAGAATGCCCTCCCCACGTGCCTGTCGCTATCTGGGCCCCATTTACACTCCTCTAGGCCCCCCTTCCTCTGGACATGGTGTGTCACGATCCAGGACAATGCCCGGAAGCTGACCCAACACCGTGAGCAGCTACGGAAAGGGAAAGAGGCTGCCTTCTCCCTTGGACAGTGTCTCCGGCGCCTCTTTACCCAGGAAGAAACTGCTCGTGCGGTTCAGCGACACAGAGAGGAACTGGTGGAGGCCTGCAAGCTGGCCGACCACCTTGTCCTGCAGCTGCACATAGGTGAGGGGACCCCAGGCCCTGAGCACATGAGCCATCCCGAGGTCCCTGCTCACAGGCCACTCCACACTCCCTAGGCGACCCCTTTACCAGCTTTAAGCTTTCCCATCACATCTTTGCCAAGACAAGTGAGGACGGGAGGCTAGGAAGTCGGGGACACCATGCGGGCATCCACTGTAAGGACCAGAGGCAGCCTGTAGAATGAAGAAAGCTGGACAATTCTGGAGTGTCTGGTGCTGTCCTTGGTGCTGACCGGTCTCCTTATGGTGGAGCGCTAGATGGATCTTTGAGAAATGTCTCTTCCTTGAGCTCACCTGGTGACCCGTGCTTGCATGTAGTTGTGTAAAAAATGTAGGCATGTTTTCTAAACCAGATCGGAAAAGGAAAAAGCTTTGTGTCACGGTAGAGAAGGAATTCACTGTGGATGAAATGGTGGTGGGCAGGATGCTGTACAGGAATCATTTCCTGCACAGAGGATTTTCCTGGAGGACAGAGCAGACACCACCCTGCAGTGCTTGGTGGTGCTTGGAATAGCAGAGGGGCCCAGGTCAGCGCTCCCTGTCCTCGTCCCAGAGAAGGGACTTGGCGTCGCGCCGAGGGAGAGCTGGGAAGGGAGAGAGGCCCCGCCTAGGCACCAGGCTCGTGTCCAGAGGGAGGTGAGCAGAGCAGAAGTGTGGAGGGAGCCGGACCAGTGCAAAACGCATTTTAACCCGACCCCACCAGGACATCAGTCCTTTTCCTGAAGGGTCACAGAGCCACGCCAGATCATTTCTCTGAAGAGAGTATGGGAGCATTCCGTACAGCTCCTTCCCTGTGTCCTAAAATCGAACAGAAAAAATGACATCATCTCTTTAAAAATGATGTCATCGTGCCCAGAGAGATCAGCGCGACACCAACACGTATCTGACTAGACGTTTCTCAATTTGCAGCAAACTGTGGAAGCAGGACAGATGAGGAAGAGAAAGAGCCACTTTACCAAGTGGACGATCAGAGCAGGTAAGACGGGAAGAGGGTCCGTGAAAGGACGACGAAGCGTGCGGCCACAGTCGCAATTGCAGAGGGTGCACAGGCGGCTGGCTTTGCTGGCTTCATTCTCCCAGCCCACCACGGCCTTCCTCATAGCGAGGGTTGCATTTTCTCTGGTACTTGGAGTGCTCATCCGAGTCTGTCTCGGGATTTCCTGTCCTCCCAGGTCACACCTGTCCTCTTGTGTGTGTGAATGATTTACCTTCCATCCTCTGAGCTGATTGCCCAGGACTTCACTGAGAATTAGGCAGTTACAAACTTAGGTACACACACGTGTATGTACGTGTAGCCTGCCACACATTCAGAGGAAAAGAAACTGCAACCACCTGGGCAGTGTGCTGATGTAAGGATCTACTCAAGCGAATAGGATATTTAAAATATTGAGGCTCGTTGTGAGGAGTTCTCTTTTGAGAGCTTTAAATGATATTTTCATAGGAATCACTGTCCCAAGCCTATTGAACTATCATCCATTGAGCTGTAATTTTTGATTTCCCCTCTTCTCCCTTAGCGATTTCAGCTTCCTGATTCAGGCTCAGGCCCGAGAGCTGACCCAGTTAAGGAAGAAGTTGGAGGCAGGAAGAAATGTCGCATTCATCCTCCAAAGACATCTCAAAGACCTCATCACGGATAATGACTTTGGTGAATCCCAAGGGCAGAGCCTCCTACAGCTGGCAGAGTGGCGCAGGCTGGCTGAGCGCCTGACCCTCCAGCTCGGCTCAGGTGAGGGGGCCGCAGGCCCTGGTCAGACTGGGCTTCTCCGAGCCCCAGCTCCTGGAGGCCCCAGCAGACGGGTCGTCTCTGCAGCGCTCCCCTTCCCGTCTGCATTCTCCTGAGAGTCTCAGCCCATCAGGGAGCCGCATTGGGGGACAGAGGAGGAGCG